TACGATTGGCCTCTTCTTGCTGTGTCCTCACCTGGTTGTCTCCAGGTTTATGTGGTGTGTGTGTCCTAATCTTCTCTTCCTACAAGGACATCAGTCATATTGTATTAGGGCCCAACCTAATGACCTCATTTTACCTTAATCAGCTCTTTGAGAGCCCTGTCTTCAAACACAGTCACAGTCTCAGGTACTTGGGGGTTTGGACTTCAACATGTACATTTTAGGGAGGCACAGTTCAGCCCATAATCAGCTTACCTGCACTTCCCTCCTCTCCCCATCATTCCCTACCTTAGGGCCCATCTAAATGACCTTACAAAATGTGGAGTCCCTTCTCTATGCACAATATGAAATATATGAAATAGTCTAGACATATAGAAACCAGATGCTTGCAACAACGTATTTATGACTGATATACTCTTAAGGTTCTTGGACAAATGGGAGTACCTATTAAAAATTATTCTTAGCCAGGCGCAGTGGCTCACGCCTGTAATCCCAGCACTTTGGAAGTCCAAGGTGGGTGGATCACCAGAGGTCGAGAGTTCAAGACCAGCCTGACAAACGTGGTGAAACAAAGTCTCTACTAAAAATATAAAATTAGCCGGGCATGGTGGTGCATGCCTGTGATTCCAGCTACTTGGGAGGCTGAGGCAAGAGAACTGCTTGAACCTGGGAGGCAGAGGTTGCAGTGAGCTGAGGTAGTGCCATTGTACTCCAGCCTGGGCAACAAGAACGAAACTCCATGTCAAAAAAAACCCAAAAAACAAAAATAAAAAGATTCTTTTGGGCCAAACACAATAGCTCACACCTATAATCCCACCACTTTGGGAGGCTAAGGTGGGAGGATTGCTTGAGCTCAGGAGTTTGAGACCAGCCTGGGCAACAGAGAGAGACCTTATATCTACTAAATTAAAAAAAAAAAAGTGATCAGCCAGGTGTAGTGGCAAATGCCTGTAGTCCCAGTTACTCAGGAAGTTGAGGCTGGAGGGTCGCCTGAGATCGAGGCTACAGTAAGCTATGATCATGCCACTGAGCTCCAACCAGGGTGACAGAGCAAGACCCAGTCTCAATCAATCAATCAGATCCTTTCAGAGACATCTCGAAAATATTTTTTAACTGAGAATGTGGGAAAAAAAAAAAACAGTCAAGAAACTGGCTTAGTTTCATTATTAATCTAATCTAAAATAATAGGTTTGCTGTGTGCTAAAAATAATACTCAGACTCTCTGAATGAGTAAGCCTACTGAGAATAAACACAGGCTTTTAAAAAATCATAAAAACTTCAATCATAATCAATATCTAATGTGGGAAAGTATCTTCCTCTTAAAAATATTAAGAAGGTGGCCGGGCATGGTGGCTCACCTCTGCAGTCCCAGCACTTTGGAAGGCAGAGGTGAGCAGATCATGAGATCAGGAGTTCAAGACCAGCCTGGACAACATGGTGAAACCCCATCTCTACTAAAAATATAAAAATTAGCCGAGTGTGGTGGCAGGCTCCTGTAATCTCAGTTGCTCGGGAAGCTGAGGCAGGAGAATGGCTTGAGCCCGGGAGATAGAGGTTGCAGTGAGCCAAGATCGTGCCATTGCACTCCAGTCTGGGCGACAGAGCAAGACTTCATCTCAAAATTGAAAAAAAGAAAAAATTAATAGTGTGAGCAATAAGCAACAAAAATGTCTAAATTTTACAAACAGAATAAGAGCCTAAAGGTTGTATGCATAGAAAAACAAAACCAAATAGCTATTCATATTTTCCTTTAGGGAATGAGGACAAAGAAGCTCTAGAAGAGTGTTATACTGAAGCCAGAAAGGAAGCATACAAAAATATCCCTATCTATTTTTGTAAAGATGGGGTCTCACTATGTTGCCTAGGCAGGTATTGAACTCCTGGCCTCAAGTGATCCTTCTGCCTCAGCCTCCCACAGTGCTGGAATTATAGGTGTGTGCCACCACCTGTGGCTGGATTTCTCTTTCAACAAGCAAAATAGATCTTTCCTGGAGTCAGAAAGTAGGAGATCAGGGAGCTTCTCACTATTGATGGTGTAATTAAGCGAAGGATCCCTTTTCAGGTCATCAGCTTAGTGTCAGTTCCTGGCTCTATCTGACCCATTGTAGTAGTGGGAGGTGTAGAAAACTTGTGGCTGGGTGTGGTGGCTCACGCCTGTAATCCCAGCACTTTGGGTGGCCCAGAAGGGTGGATCACGAGGTCAGGAGTTTGAGATCAGACTGGCCAATATGGTGAAACCCTGCCTTTACTAAAAATACAAAAAATACACTGGCTGGGCATGGTGTCACGCTCCTGTAGTCCCAGCTACTCAGGAGGCTGAGGCAGGAGAATCCCTTGAGCCTGGGAGGCGAAGGTTGCAGTGAGCCGAGATTGCACCACAGCACTCCGCCCTGAGCGACAGAGAGAGCAGAGAGAGACTCCATCTCAACAAAAAAAGAAAGAGAGAAAGACAGAAAGTGAAGTCAGGAGGGTTTACATCAATTTCACGTATTACAAACAACAACAACTCATAGTGCTAGGGAGGCATTTCCACTCATCTTTACCACCTCACAAGGACAGGAATACATTCAACAGAAGGATTCTCTGCTACGAATGGATTGAAATAAATATCTGAGTTCCTGCTAGAATGGAAAATAATAGCTTTGCGTAGCTGTGGGGTCACCAATGACATCAGAACAAAAATTATTGCTAAGTATCAAGGAGAAAATATCTTGAGGACAAGGTGTGACTAACAAGTTCAGAAAAAGGGAAGGTCAGTCAAAAAAGAAAAAAAAGCAGCCTCCTGGGCGGCAGAGCAAGCGAGACCGTCTGCAAAAAAGGAGATGAAGGAAGATAATCATGCCACCTCTAATTTTCTATAGCAAGTTCCGTAGAGCTCAAAATACTTTAAAGCCGTATTTTTATTTTCAAGTAGCAGGAAGGAAATATCAGCAGCGTTTACAGATGGTAAAGCTAAAGCGTCACTTAGATGGGGGGTGCCTGGTTCTCACTGCAGCATCTTGTAGCTGCGCAGGACAGGGCCTGGAGAGGGAGTTTCTGTCTTTCCCAGGAGCTTACCAACCCAGTCATCAGAAGGTCTCCCCAACCACAATGTATATTATTTTAGTGTAAAAATGGGATATGTTAATAATTATGTTAAAATTTCCATCAGAAATCTCAAGGCTATTGAGAACAATGATTAGTCTACTGATTACAGGCGCTGCGGCTCATGCCTATAATCCCAGCACTTTGGGAGGCTGAGGTGGGAGGTTGCTTGAGCCCAGGAGTTTTGAGACCAGCCTAGGCAACACAGTGAGACCCCATTTCTATAAAACATAAGCAAATAAATAAATAAATAAAACATAGAGGGGACAAAGAGATGTGGTCATTTGGTCAGTATATTGGTTTTTCTAGGGGTGCTGTAACAAATTACCATAAATTGGGTGGTAGTTAACAACAGAAATGTATTTTCTCACAATGCTGGAGGCTAGAAATCCAAAATCAGCTGGGCGCAGTGGCTCATGCCTGTAATCCCAGCTCTTTGGGAGGCCAAGGCGGGTGGATCACGATGTCAGGAGTCCGAGACCAGCCTGCCCAATATAGTGAAACCCCCTCTCTACTAAAAATACAAAAATTGGCGGGGCGTACTGGTGCACGCCTGTAGTCCCAGCTACTCGGGAGGCTGAGACAGGAGAATCACTTGAACCTGTCTGAGGTAGAGGTTGTGGTGAGCCAAGATGGTGCCATTGCACTCCAGCCTGGGCACCAGCGAGACTCTGTCTCAAAAAAAAAAAGAAAAGAAAAGAAATCAAGGTGTTGGCTGGGCCAGGCTCCCTCTGAAGTCTCCACTGGAGAATCCTTCCTTGCCTTTTCCAGAGTTTGGAGGCTGCCTGCAATTCTTGGTGTTCCTTGGCTTGAAAATATGTCACTCCAATTTCTGTCTCATTTGTCACACGGCACTCTCCCTGTGTGTCTGTATCAGTGTTCAAATTTTTCTCTTCTTATAAAGGCACCATTCAACTAGTGTTCCAGTAAAACCTCAGCTTAACTTTTTTAGATCTACAAAGGATCTATTTCCAAATGAAGTCATATTCATAGGGACCAGAGATTAGGCTTGAGCCTGCCTTTAAGGGGACATGATTCAATCAACAAAAATCAGTTTAAAAACAAGATATTACTACCAAGTGGTAAATACACTCAAAACTATGAAAGGCCATGATTCTCCCCCAAAAACCTGAGACAGCATCATCTTTGCTGTTGAAATAACCCAGAATAAGCTCTCTCTACATGTTCTTCCCATTTTTAAGACTCATGAGTCTATGTTGAAACTTAACCATCTCACAGACTCTCTCTATAAGGTCTTATGCGGCTTTTCCATTACAACATTTTCACATCCCCATCTTTGAAGCTGGTAACAGCTGGTAACAGCATTTTTTCCCAGAGGAAATCTGTCCTGAAATGCGGTATTCTGTTCTAAAGAGTTCATGTATTCTTTAGAAAGAAAGGAGAGGGATGTCCACAGATGGAAAAACATAGAGTAATTAACATCTTTGACCTTCCATTCTGCTTAAGACTGGTAGACACCATTGGTCTGTTTAATACACATGATCACTTCCACTTAGGGACGTGGAAAATTAGGTGCAGAGCACAAAAGAAACTTGCCAAGGTCTCAGAGACCCTAAGACGGTAAAGGGTAAGCTACAGACAGATGCCCCCTACTTCTGACCCCAGGAGCAACACAACCAGGACTAGTGAAAGGAGGAGAGAGGATAGGACGGGAAAGGGCAGGAATAGAAGCTTCCTTCCTTTCTTTTGTACCAAACAGCGGTTTGTTCAGGAGGTACTGTTTTCCATTTGTGCACTGCTGCCTCTGCACCTCAGCAAATTTCTGACCTACCAACAGAATCAGAATAAGCCACTCATACAACACCCCACAACAGGGACCCATTGTCATGGAGTCAGGTGGCTGAGAGCTAAGCATTATTCCCCTGATCTGTCGTGGGCATTGTTTTGAGGTTGGATGAAATCATGAAATGTAAGCATTCTTTCTGCGTCTGGAAGCAATCCAACAAAATCGAATGGTTCATTCCTGAGTGACCCCAAGTACCTCCCTTTGTCCCACAACATTCTTTCTCCACCTTCTTCTACTTGAGTGAAAAATGTATTTATTCACTCAATAACTGCTGTGTGCTAGTTTTAACAATCTGATCTCTCAAAGTAGCCGTAGACATCAGCTCTCTTTTTTTCTTTAGAATTGAGAAACCATAGAGAGACAAGTCAAAGTAACTCCTGAAGATTGTCTCTTAATGCAAGAGAAATACAAATAACCAGATTTCTTCTTTCTCTTTGGGATTAAAAATGAAATCTGATGTGATTTATCTTTGCAATTCCAAAAAGACATTTAGTGTTTTATTTTCTCCTTTTTACCATATTTTACTTTACTCTCTCACTTTCTGCTGTTCTGAATTAATTTTATTGCCTGCTTTGTTCTTAGAATTTTCGTTTGTCCCATTTTTTCCCACTTCTTCAGTTTCCTAATTGTCCCAACGATTTCACTCTTTCTTTCTTATGGTTCTCTCTAGAATCATAAAAGTGTAGAAATTTAATATGAAAAGGGACGTTCAGGTAGTTTAGCAGCATCATCTTACAGATGAAGGGCTAAGGTTTAGGGAATTTAGGGAATTTGTCCAAAGTATTGCAGTTAATTTGTGGGAGGACCTGGCACTGGAACCCAAATGTCCTGATTACCTGAACACAGCTCCAAGTCCTTCTTTGTATCTAATGCCACAAGTATATAAGACATCTTCATATCCCGGCCATGCCTGCTGATCTCTTGTGCTGCATACTAATGTCAAATCAGGGGCTCTGGGCCATCAAGTATGGATTTATTTATTTGTTTTTATTTTTGAGACAGTCTCTGTTGTCCAGGCTGGAGTGCAGTGGTGCAATCTTGGCTCACTATAACCTCCGCCTCCCAAATTCAAGCGATTCTCCTGCCTCAGCCTCCGGAGTAGCTGGGGATCACAGGCACGCTACCACACCCAGCTAATTGTGTGTTTTTAGCACAGACAGGGTTTTCCCATGTTGGCCAGGCTGGTCTCAAACTCCTGGCCTCATGTGATCTGCCCCCTTGGCCTCCCAAGTGCTGAGGTTACAAGCGTGGGCCACCACGCCCAGCCAAGTATGGATTTAGAAAAGTTATTCTGGTGCTTAAAAGTTTTGAGGAGTCTTTTTTCTGAGTAGATAGCAGACAATTTCATAAAATCTGTGAAATGCGGCGTCCTTATTTAATTTTATGAAAAAGAGAAATACAAAGAAAAAAAGGGGAAATTTTGATACAGTATTACCAATAGTAAAAGTGTTGAGCAAGAAAAAGGAAGTGAAATTCTACAACTCAAAAATATGCTCGTGGTATATGCACAGATTTCAGTCATGAGCACAGTCTAATAATAAAACATTCAGGTCATAGATCAAACAAGTCATTACAATCTGATGTTTTTCACTGATTAGAATGGAAGGAAATTTTATTCATGTTGTGTCCCCACAGTCCCCAGAGTCCCCACAGTCCCCACAGTTCTTGATGTATCCCAAGTGCTCAAAGCACTTTGTCTAATAAATGTTGACTGAAATAAATATGTGGTCTAGAGAAAGTTAAATTAGAAGATTGACTCAACTCTGGATTCAGGATTCATTTAATGCCAATATTCTAATTCTGATTTTGAAAAGTAGCACGAGAATATTGCCAGTTAGAAAGAAAGAATCTGGCCGGGCACGGTGGCAAGCAAGCAAGCAGAAAGGAAGGAAGGAGAAAAGAAAGAAAAAAAGAAAGAGAGAAGGAAGAGAGAGAGGTGCACCGCCAGGTGCAGTGGCTTACGCCTGTAATCCCAGCACTTTGGGAGGCCGATGTGGGCAGATCACCTGAGGTCGGGAGTTCAAGACCAGCCTGACCAACATGGAGAAAGCCCGTCTCTACTAAAACTCCAAAAATTAGCTGGGCATGGTGGCATGCACCTGTAATCCCAGCTACGAGGGAGACTGAGGCAGGAGAATTGCTTGAATCTGTGAGATAGAGGTTGCAGTGAGCTGAGATTACACCACTGCACTCCAGCCTGATTGACAGAGTGAGACTCTGTCTTAAAAAAAAAAAAAAAAAAAAAAAGGAAAGACAAGGAAAGAATAAAAGGCATAACATAGGATAAATTACTTTATCATTATTATAGATGATATGATTGTCTACCTCTTCCTGTCTTACAGAAACAGGTAGACTGGGACTTGTTTTAGTCTACTAAGGTGACCACAGCAAACTGTCATAGACTGGGCGGTTTACACAACCGGAATTTATTTACTCACAGTTCTGGAACCTGGAAGTCCAAGATCAAGGTACAGCAGGTTTGGTTTCTCTAGAGGCCTCTCTTCTTGGCTTGCAGACAGTCATTTCTCTGTGTGGGGTACACTACTGGTGTCCATTCCTCTGGTTCTGTTAGGTTAGGACCCCATCCTTACGATAATTTAATTACTTCTTTTTAAAAAAAAGAGTAGGCCAGGCACGGTGGCTTGTGCCTGTAATCCCAGCACTTTGGAAGGCTGAGGTAGGAGGATCGCTGGAGGCCAGAAATTCAAGACCAGCTTAGATAATATAGTGAGATCTGTCTCTGTTTTTAAAAATAATTTAAAAAGAGGCTGGATGCGGTGGCTCATGCCTGTAATCCCAGCACTTTGGGAGGCCAAGGCAGGTGGATCATGAGGTCAGGAGATGGAGACCATCCTGGCCAACATGGTGAAACCCTGTCTCTACTAAAAATACAAAAATTAGCTGGGCATGGTGGCGCGTGCCTGTAATCCCAGCTAATTGGGAGGCTGAGGCAGGAGAATCGCTTGAACCAGGGAGGCAGAGGTTGCAGTGAGCAGAGTTCATGCCACTGCCTCCAGCCTGGCAACAGAGCAAGACTCAGTCTCAAAATAAAATAAAATTAAATTAAAAAGATTTTATTTTTTAAAGTCATTTTTATTTTTAAATTTTACTTTTCCTAATCATCGGACAACCAGGGAAAGACCTTTTTTTTTTTTTTTTTTTTTTGAGAAAGAGTCTCTCCCTGTTGTCAGGGTGGAGTGCAGTGGCACGATCTGAGCTCACTGCAACCTCTGCCTCCCAGCTTCAAGTGATTCTCCTGCCTCAGCCTCCCAAGCAGCTGGGATTACAGGCACGTGCTACTGCACCCAGCTAATTTTTTATATCTTTAGTAGAGATAGAGGTTCACCATGTTGGCCAGGCCGGTCTTGAACTGCTGGCCTCGTGAGCCGCCCACCTTGGCCTCCCCAAGTGCTGGGATTACAGGTGTGAACCACTGCGCCTTACCAAGACCTTATTTTTTAGGAGCAACTTTTTTTTTAAGTTCACAGCAAAACTGAGAGGAAGGTATTGTACCTTCCTGTCAATTCTCATATACTCCCTTCCTCCCCTACCTTAATTACTTCTTTAAAGGCCCTATGCTATAATACACTCGGGTTGAGTGGTTAGGGATTAAACATACGAATCTGTGGGGGGAAGCAATTCAGTGCATAACAAAGACTAAGATCTGTGGCCATAACTGGGCTTCGTGATACCTTTCTCACTGCACTGATCTGACAGAGGGAGAAAGAGAAAAAGAGGGACAGAGATAGAGACAGGAGTCAAGCACGCATCTAAAACTATCTCCCCAGTCTTCGTACTTCTTGAAGACAGAGCAGGCATGTTACTCAATAAGTGGTCTTCAGACTCTGCTCTTTAGATTCACCTGGGGGAGCTTTACAAATTTGTCAACACCTGGGCCCCACCTGTTGAGTTTTTTAACTGGTCTGGTGTAAATGTGGGCTTGTGTATTGTTTCTATTCACCTTTTTTAAAGTGTACAATTGAATGGTTTTTAGTCTATTGACAAAGTTGGGCAACCATCACCACTACCTAATTCCAGAATGTCTTCATCACCCCAAAAAGAAACCCATCAGCATTCCTTCCCATTGCCTCCTACTCCCAGCTCCTGGCAACCACCAAGCTACTTTATTTCTCTAGGAGATGCTCCCATTGGGAGTTTCAGATGGCTGAAGTCATACAGCATGTAGCCTTTTGTGGCTGGCTTCCTTCATGGGTTTCTGTATTTTTAAAAAATCTGTCTGGGCTGGGTATGGTGGCTCACGCCTGTAATCCCAGCACTTTGGGAGGCCGAGGCGGGCAAATCACCTGAGGTCAGGAGTTTGAGACCAGCCTGGCCAAAATGGTGAAACCCCATCTCTACTAAAAATACAAAAATTAGCTGGGTGTGGTGGCAGGTGCCTGTAATCCCAGCTACTTGGGAGGCTGAGGCAGGAGAATTGCTTTAACCTGGGAGGCGGAAATTGCAGTGACCCAAGATCCCACCACTGCACTCCAGCCTGGGTGACAGAGCAAGACTCTGTCTCCAAAAAAAGTAAAAAATAAAAATACCTCTGATTGTATGCCAGAGTTAAGAACCATCCCCACTAACAGAAGTCCTTTCACGGAAACAAGAAAACTTCCAATGGAATCCCTCTGAACCTCACCTAGGATCAATCCACAGCACAGTCCCCCCAGCTCCCACAGAAAAAGTGGGGAAAGGGCCCTGATTGGCCCAACTTGGGTCACATGGTTAACCCTTGACCAATCACAGTGTTTAGGAATAATCACGTGATCACGCCCTTGGGCTCTAGCCTAAGGAAAATGGGGGACTTGACAAAGGACTTTCAGTAGAGGAGGACATGATCCAATTTAGAAACTTGCATAGGAAGTTTATTTTTTTTCATGTCCCTGTTTTGGGCAAGCAAGGCAGCTTAAACTCTTAAGGCAAACCAATTAACCTTAAAGTCTTCATGCTACGTGCCTGATACAATGATGCTGCAGAAAAAAAGATACTTTACCAATTTATAGGAGATACAGAAAACAAAGGAGCTTGTTAAATGATACCATGGGGATGCAATAGGTAAATAAATTGCAAGGAAAAGAAAAAAGAGCTAGAAAGAGAAATAAATTAAAAGATATTTAAAGCCACAGCAACTGATCACAGTCTACAGACATTATTTAGATTCTAATTTTTCACAAATTTATTACATTTATGAGATAATTGGAAACCTGACTTAATGATATTAAGAAATTATTGTTCATTCTTTCAGGTATCATAATAGCATTTTTAAAATCTTTGTTTGTTTTTTGAGATAGGGTCTCACTCTATCACCCAGGCTGGAGTGCAGTGGCGCAGTCTCAGCTTACTGCAACCTCTGCCTCCCATGCTCAAGCGATTCTTATGCTTCAGTCTCCCAAGTAGCTGGGACAACAGGTGTGCATCACCATGTCCAGCTAATTTTTTGTAGTTTTAGTAGAGATGGAGTTTCACCATGTTGCCCTGGCTAGTCTTTAACTCCTGACCTCAGGCAATCCACCTGCCTCAGCCTCCCAAAGTGCTAGGATTACATGTATGAGCCACCCACCTGGCCAAAATTTTTATCTTTTAGAAATCCGCACTGAAATATTTATGGATGAAATAGTAGGCTACATGGGATTTGCTTCAAAATATCATGTGAAGGGGAGTAGATGAAGCAGGCCTG